AATAAGATGCAGTGTGAGAGAGAGAGAGAGAGATACCGTTTGCGCGTAGTCTCGTCTTCAATTTTTTTTGTACTCTCTGTGATACCTCTGTAACGATCGCTGCACAGCAAAACGTGCAAGTACGTGTCATTGCATTTGCATATATAATGCTAACGGAGTTCAATAGGACTGGCGCATAGCTCCACAGATATTACAAATTGATATGCTTGATGGATGTATATCTCTGTGACAAGATGATGGTGCAATGACAGTAATGGGTACAACGTGCTGTCGCAAATATTAAAACCCGTCTAGCTTCGTAGACCAGTGATTTAGTGTACCGGCGATATAGCACGAAGCCCGAATTTCGTCGTGTCAACCGAAGCGAAAAACTTTCCAGATAGAGATTGACATTCGATCATGTATCAACGATACTTTTAAAAAGCATTTTCCGGCGAGTGACTCTTTCAAAGGCATACCGCTTGCGCTTGAAAATCGCGAGATTAGAAAGGGTAAAAAGTAAAGAGCCTAAATTATTCCATCAATTTTGAGAGAACTGAAGAAAATAACAAGCTCTATCTTGACAAAGACCTTGCGTATTTACCCCCGATTTCGTTTTTATCTGTCAATATTAATTAGTTATTGTTATTAAAATATTAAGTATAAAATTTATGTCCTATTAAACTTGAACAAAGAATGAAAGTTGACTGTTTGTCGATGCTTGATTTTCTAAAATCCTTTAATATTTCATGTTGAGTTTATAATTGATGCTTTCTAATTTTCCTAGTTTCTCTAATTGTAAGAATAACTCTTAATCATGCAAGCGTATACAACGCTTCTTCCTATTTGTTTTCTATTAATTCTTTTCATTCGTTATTCGATAATCCGTTGAAACTGGCGTGCACAATTTCACGCAAGTTTCATATCGATCTTCTCGCCAATTACTCAGTTACTGGTAAACGAGATGTCATTATATCGGATATGTCTCACGCATTTCGTTAGTAAGATCTGCAGAGGGAAACATAGATGTTCGAAGTAGCGTAAAAGCTATCGAGAGGACGATCCCATCAAATAATTTTCGTGTCTGTCCTGGAATACAGTAAGGTCCGTATTTATAGTCGCGATTCTACCGAAAAACTCAGCTAAAACCAGACTTGAGAGATGATACTGTTTACTCGATAAATATTGAGACTCTATTTGATATTTGCTTGTAATCTCGCTTCAATAGAGATCCTGCAAGAAAGTTTTAGAAAATAGTTTTTGGATTTCGTGTCATCTAAGATTTGAGTCGAGAAAAATTGCGTGTCGTCGTTTTAATCAATGCTTTGACTCTCAAGGCGAATTTCAGGTGAGTAATCGATCCCCCTTTTAGCTGAATACAGTTTCAATTGGTCTTTATTCAAAATGTAAGTAACTATTGAACCGTCTGTATCTCAAGACACGAAACTCCAATCTGAATATCTCACCTGATGCACTCTTGAGACAAGACGAATTGAGAAACGACTATAAATACGGGCCTTAGTCACCATATTGTTTTCTTTAATACGGTGGAATGACTACTGCCTTTAGATTGAATTATACCGTCCATGAAAAACTTAATTAAAAATCCGGTTAATTGTCGGCGTAGATAAAAATCATTAGAATACTCAACTATTTGTGTTGCATCGAAAAGAATTCCGATTTGACTTTGAATAAGCTCAAGAGAGACATATTGTCAATTATCTCGATATAATGAAATTAAGAATAGGCAAATTGATTATAATATTCAGCGCAGATGGATTGACATTAAATCTTTTTAACCAATAAATTCCACGATCTCGTATAATAAATATTCCAATAATCCGTTTCCAATAAGTCCGAAAGTAGACCGATATCGGCGTAACTTTTAAATAGGCGTAAAAAAGACTTATTTAGCGAAAAATGTATAGTTATATCGCAGGAATAAATAATATTTTTTTGCAAAATAGAGACGTTAGTTCCGCGAACTTTTCGTTAAAAGCAGATGAAGGAAATATTGCTGATAATACAACGGAGAGAAGATCATTGTTTGTTATCTTTTCAGTTGTTTTTAGTGAGAGATAACAACATTTATTTTAAAACACCATCGCGGCGACTAGATAGCTGGGAATATGAGCTTATTGCACGGTTATTGGATAAAAATGAGTCGGAGCTCGATCGAAAGAAAAATCTTGGGAACCGCTGTAAGATAGAACTGCGCGGCGTACCGTGGTATTTGTTGTGAAAGAGGGTTTTGTCCGGAAAAATTGAGATCTCTGGAAATAGATCTCATTTAGCCATTATTGCGAATATTAGATGTCTATATATCTCTTCTTTTACTTTGCAATAACATTACTTTAGTAAATGAAACCTTTGCTATAATAAAAGCGAGAGCTAAATTAGATAATGTTTATTTTACTCAAACGTAGTACCGAATTTATTAACGCGGAATATCTTATGTAAAGAGATCGTACTAGACAAACTGTTGGTTGACTTGCACGTAGCAAAGTGAATTTCAAACAAAATTTTACGGTGAGAGATAATTACAGAAGATATTTTGTGGACATAGAGAGGAAAGTTCTCTATTATGAGATAGGATCCTAATACGAGATAGTAGGTTTTCAACGTCCAAATTCAATCACAAATCTTTTTTCGCTACGATTATACGATCCAACCATGAATTGTCCACTAAACAGATTTTACTCCAAGGGCAATAAATTCATGGTGGAACCTGTTAATTTAGCAGAAACTCCGCTATTAGGAATAATTAAACTTTCCTTTAGTGTCTTTTTATCAGGTTTTTCAAGCTGAAACGTACCTTTTGCTGTTCCTCACGATGCTTTGCCGGATTGTCTCATCCTTGATGACGGTACCGTTTGATACCGATTCGCACAGTTGATCTTGCACGATCCGGTACGGTGTTCGCAAGCACCTGGCACGAGGCGTAGACAATTGAAGCGACTCGAAGAGACACTCAGCCGCAGGTACCACCGCACGAAAGGTACCTTTGAGTTCTTTTTTCCTCCTCCACACAATCGCAAACACACGCACGCACACACCGGCCAGCCTCGTCCTTCAGGAAACGGTACCGTACCAGGGGCACAAGGTTGTACCGCCCACGGTACCGGGTCTTTTCGAGGCTCTGCTGCCGCAAATTTCTTTCCACGTCGTTGGGGTCACGTACATGCCACAGAAAATATCAGGGAGCGACGCCGATTCGAAGAGGTCTCCTGCGACGACATTAGCGAAAGGCGCGAGTCCTCCCTCGAGTCGTGTCTCGAGGACATTGATAGTCCGCGAGCGACGTTAACGGTACGCGGTAATTTTCTCTCCCGAAATCATGTCGCGAACGTAATCTCTCGTGATGCGTAACTTAAACAGAAGTACGACGACGTCCCGTCCGGCTCCGCAGGACGCATGCCGAGATCCCCCTTGGAGACGGTTAAGTCAACAGATTCGAGCTTCGCGATCGACCGACTCCGCTGTCCTCGCGGGTATCCATATCCCCGCAAACCCTCGTCATTCCACCCCTCCTCCTCGATCTCTCCCTTCGGCCTCAGGACGTTCTTCTTCTAGTTTTCCGTCGAGTTCGCCGTACCCGCGGCATCAGAATCATGCTTCCATCCTCCGCGTGTTTCTCGGTCTCCGTTTCGTATTTTCCCCTCTCCGGCACTCGACGGGTGACTCCAACGGGTCCTAAGATCAGCTCTTGGACACATCTTTTGTCGGGGACAAATATATGTCTCTCATGCTTCGGATGTCAGTTACGAGTCTTTGAGTGTTTGCAGCGAAATATCAATACTCGATATCAATACTCTTGACAACGGAACGAGCGAAACTGGAAGAGAGGTCGGAGCTGAAAGCAGAATCTCGTCGTTTGATCGCGCTCAATACTTGTCACTTTGAAATCACTTTGTGGTTCACGCCGTCTTGCGACACTTTATTTTCACTCAATACTTTTATTTTACGTCATCATCTTTCTTCCCGGAAAAACAAGAGAAAATATCAGAACGTACGCGTTAGGATGACTTCCTTTCCATTCAAATATTCGTCCTTATTTAATCAACACTTGATCACTGAGAGAAAAAGCAGCTCAGGGGGTGAAAGAGAGAGAGAGAGAGAGAGAGAAAGGGGGTGCGATGTGATATGTTGAAAAAGGAGAAGTGGGGAAAAATAAGAAGGGAAGGCAAGTACGTGCCTATTGATTTCACCATCGCGAGGAATGTTTTATCATTCGACAGCATTACGGGGTACTGTGAGGAATCTCTTCGCCCATTACAGCTCGGAAATTTCTAATAAATTTCCTAGTTTCCCACTCTTTATTGCAGCAACTCTGCAACGAGCTACGGTCCATGAATTACTGATGCGTTTGCATATCGACGTGCGCGAAACGCTAAAACGAAACGTGTATTTTTGGAAGCGCCTGCTATGCGGGGCAATGCTTGCGGAACCTCTGCACAATGGAATACTTAAGCGTGAGTCACCGCATAGCGCTTCGTGAAGATACCGTAACTATTTAAATTTCTGCTATACCGCCCGCGTATCGTCGGCACCTTGCATTTCCGTTGTACGCCTAACGTTTAGCCCAATTGTCCTACAGGAGAAACATCCCCCACGGAAAAATAATCAATTCTCTCGTAAGCAGATGTATTCCGTGTAATATACGCGCGCCTCGAGTCAAGACCGTAATTACTTGTAGGTCGTTTTTCCCCTGCATTGGACTCGTAACGACAGCGAAATTGAAGTCAATTGGGTTTTCATTTGCGGCGGAAGCGTGCGCATATTCTCCTACGATGCGAAAGTCCGCGCTTCGACCGCGGATCAGAAGAGCTGGTGAAAGCGACTGTCACGGTTTCCGCATAACGAACAGCTGGCGAAACCTTTCTATCAGTTCCGGCTGTCGGATTGGAAATAAACGTATATCCGCGCGTACATTTCGACCAATGAAGAGGGGTGGGGGTATGTCGAAAGAGGAAAAGATCCGCGGATATGTGTGAGGGCGTGAATGCCCGAATTGAATTGCTTTACAATACGGCTGTTTGTGCGGATTATCGCGACGTGTGTGTACGCCACGTCGAGGCGTGCACTCGCGCGTGCACGTATCGATATGAATACCACGGCGGCGAAGCGATGGGGGAAGCGAGGTGGGGCAGACTCAGCGAAGGCAGTACGAATGATTTTTTCACCCAAATCCTCGTGTAATCCCTCATTTCCATAGCGGCCCGTGAAAACGTGAAAAAGAAAAGCGGCTTAGGGGTTTCAAGTATTCCTGATATCTCGTAATACGGCGTTTAATGGAGGGAAGAAAGTGGGGACATCGCTCATAATTTGCATTCTCTCTTTTTTTTTCTCTTGTTTTCCGTCTTAATGCCAGTGATTTATATTCATTTAAGTCAACCCGTAATTCCTCTCTTCTCCGCGCCTCTTCGTATTTTCCTCGACCATCACTGTTCGCGGATCTCGCGATCAACGCTTTCGCCGTGGGTTCTTTCTTCGCGCGAAGAAACAAGCAGCCTCCTCTCCACTCTTCGCTCCGCGCTCTTCGCCACGTTGCTCCCGTCTCGCCGCTGGTATCCGCAATCTTCGCGACTCTCGCGAGAGGCCCCCCGCTAGCTCTTCTTCCCAATTTCGAAAATCTCCTTTACGAGACTATTAACACGTCGCACTCTTTACAAGATTCATTCGCACGTCGATCTATATCTACGGGGAAAACACAAACATTTCCATTTTCACTTAAGATACTTCCGCTCTTACAAATATTACCGACGCTCTCTCTCTCTCTCTCCTTCCCTCCTTTCTCTCCTCTCTCGCCCCTCCGTTCTCCCCTTGCTCCTCCCTCGTCCTCTCTCGAACGTCACCTCCTTTTAAACTCCCGCGCGCGTTCTCTTTCTTTCAAATACGCGGTACGTACTCCCGCTCTTAAAATCTTACTCACTACCACCTTCTCTCGCAACCCCTCGCTATCACTCGGGAAGATCTCGCGCCATCCGTCTCGTTATCTCAATATCATTCGCGCGCGCGTCGCAGGAACGCACGAAAAGTCACCCCGAGGACGCCCGGCGCCCGTCTCCCCCCCCCGTCCCCTTTCTTCCGCGATTATCGCCACCCCCGCCGCCGCGACGCCCCACACCGCGGGTTTTATTTGCCGGCGGACGTGCCTGCCGTCCTCGCGGCGACGAGGCCGAGGTGGAGACAGACAGCAGAGGAGAGGTAAGGCGAGGCAAGGCGGGGCGAGGCGAGGGTGAGAAAGAACGCGCACACGCGTACCCACACTTACACATTCGACGAGGACAGAGAGGGAGAGAAAGAGGGATGCGATATACGCGCGTGTACATGTGTGCGTGCACGTATGTGCGCGTGTGTTCACGAGAGGGAGAGAAAGAGAGAGAGAGAGAGAGAGATCCACTCGCAGGAAATGTGCTTACGGCACGAAGTCGCGCGCTCCACTGAGCTATCAGCGGGCATGCGTCCGCGTAGTAACCGGTAGCCCGCTACGAGCTTTCCCTGTCGTTTTTCCAACCCCCGCGCGTCTTCACGGCGCGGCCACCTCTTCCGAGAGCGGCCGCCGCCACCACCACCACCACCGCCGCTGCCGCCACCGCCGCCGCCACCACCACCACCGTCAGCAGCAGCAGCAGCAGCAGCAGCAGCAGCAGCACCAGCACCCACCACCACCACCATCGGTCGCCCCCGCGCTTACGAACCTGTTCTCCCGCGCCCGCCGCGCCGCGCCGGAGCGTGCGCGAGCGCGCGTTCACCTGCGTGCGGGATGCAACAGATGCACCGGACACGAATCCCCGCGACCCGGGGTTGCGATGCATGTATGCACAGTTACGGAACAGTCGCGCACGTACAGACCCATTACACAATCGAACGTAACGAAGAATAGAGAGAATAAAAAAAGATAAAAGAGAGTCGCGGGGACATATATCGATTTATCGCGTCGGGTTATCTTTAGAAGATAGCGAACCGTTAGAAAATCGCTGCCCCGTTCGTATTGTGTGTTAGATTGACTTTGCCACTGCCTTGGCGGAACAGCCAGCGCGGCCGAACTTTTGCGCGAATACCGCTCGCCGAGGCGGACCTTCCGCGATGCGCCTGCAATTATTGCGATATAAATTCGCAAGCTCGTAAATTAAAATTCACCAAAGTGCATTGATTTTCCGTATAGTTATATGTCGCAACGCATAATTATACAATGCACTGTAATAAATAATATCGCGCCACAAGCGTCATTATTTATTAAATATAACTTGCTCATCAGTAACGATTTTGTTACCGAAAATCGTTATTGATGACCAGATAATGTTTAATAAATAATGAGGCTTTTGCCACATAGTATTACTTATTGCGACAAATTGTACATAACTGTGCGTGATAAATAAATAAATTATTTTCGTGCAATACAGTCAGCTTTATTACTCTTTATTATCTTTGCCGATGTAAACCTAACCGCTAAAGAGAGGTGAGTTACGGGGAAAAGAATTTTATATCATTATACGTAGAGAAAAGTCCTCTATTACGAGATGGGATTCTAATATGAGATAGTAGGTTTTCAACGTCCAAATTCAATCGCAACGATTACACGATCTAATAATCAATTTTCGACTAGACAGACCTTACTCCAAGGGCAAAAAATTCATGGTGGAATCAACAGATGATGCCCATTAATTTAGCAGGAACCCCGCTATCTCGTATTAGGAGCCTGTCTAATAATACGGGACTTCCCTCTACATATACGGTGTATATTTTCCGATCGCATACGCTGAACAATTTTTCATTGACACACATCTTGTTAGGCTTTTTGCTCTTTGGAAAATCGATGATGCGAGATGCAACAGTTACGACGTCATAATGTAGATGCATTAATTATAAGGTCATAATACACTGATGTAATCTATCTATAAATGGATATAGTAAAGAAACAACACATAATACACACAACACGATAATGCATAATACAACCCTCTCTTAGAAACTAGGCCAACTTAAAGAGTATCCACTTCTGTATTACGATACACTAGTATCAAGGTAACATTTTGCAATAGCCACGGTATAAGTGGCACAGTCGCACAAATTTTTATGTTATTCTTAATTATTATTGTATATCGGTGAAAATTGTTAATCTTCACTTCTTTTCTATGCAGTCCTCATGAAATAAAGGAGAAGTAAATTTCTCAACCTGGTATTAAAGAGGACTTAAGTCAATTGATGGCAATTAAATATATCTTTTGTGTAAAATGGTTTAATATATTATATTTGATTTCCCTCGAAGTCGCAATTTATCGTTTCTGTTCGAGAAAAGTCAATTTCTAAAATTGCTCCTCGTACATCGTGAATTCAATTGAAGCGATGCTTGTGACTCAATCAGCTTCCTGAGAATTAAGATATGACACATTAGTTTTCTTTTATTTGTGCAGCGTACATTTGTAATATAAAGAAATAAACCAAAACCTAAACTTGGCTTGTGAAATTTACATGTCAAATGGGAAGCAGTCGTTTCATTGTCGGTGACCTGATTTTGTGACACAGTGCGTTTTAATTATCGTAAAACACTTTATCGGCATGCGTGGATGTCATGATAATATTTCTCTCTCCCAACAGACAATCTACATTTATCCACGCGGATTTTGACTCCGAAATATCAAAGTGCATGTCGATCATGCAAATTTCCATTGCGTTTACCGTCAAGGATAATTAAAAGATATCAGTTGATCGTCGGTAAAAATGGCAATAATAATCATGGATCGTGTTGGATTTAGAAGTACGAAATACGAATTTAATATTCCTTATACTATAATGTAATAGATTAAAGTGTTACTTCTCGCGAAGATATGTTTTTAGATGCAAAAATAATAGTTTTGTACAACAATATATGTAGAATTCTATTCTGCTAAAAAAGAGAATCACTAACGGCGATAACAAATATTATTTTTGATACTGAAAATGCCAAATGATATCGTCGCAATAAAACGATTCTGTATATACAAACCTGACGATGACAGTTAATCGATTTTTTATTCCACGGCGAGAGAATAATAACGAAAATACGCGAATGTCGATTGATTTCAGACATAGAAGATCATCGAAACCACTTTATGAAACGCTCCATGATTTCGCCCGAGATTCACCTTAAATAACAAGAATTGTGAGGAATAATGTAACGACTGGAGCTCAACTCCGCGATCGGTCGTGCATGTTTTACGACTAGTCGCAGTTTAAAATCTATTGAAGAACGATTATCGATGCATCGAAACGATCGAAGCGGCAAACTAATCGCAATAATTTGGTTAAGTTAATTAAAGTCCGGACAAAGTCGCTCTTATTGTTAGCACCGAATTTCCAGTCCTCTAATTGACATTGGAAATAGCACATTGATTGCAACAATACACTTAATTGCAACGGCGAAGTCTTCATCCAGGGTTTATTTTAAGTAACCCCAGTGAGAAATGATTCGTCGATCGATGTCGAAACGACGAATTTCAATTTGACGGTGTTGATGTCGATTTGACACATCGTTTCGAAATCAATTGACGTGTCATTTCTCGCTGGGAAAGTATTATTGACGCGTGATCGATAAAACTAATTGTGAGTTTACCTCTCGAGCTTGGCAAAATAAAATTGTAACGGAAGAAATCCGCAGCGATTATGAGTCGAATGTTTAACCCTTGAAGTTACCTCTAAAGAAATAATTATCTAAATTTTTTAGACAACCGTGACGTTTCAGAAACAAATTATTATATTTAGAAATTGTTGGCATGTAATTAAAACATTTCTAGTTAGTGAAAAGTAAACGTTGATAAAAATTAAAAATAATTTATATTGCTGACAATGTGCTATTAAAAACCAAACAATATAGAAATTGGCTCGATTGGGAAAATGTAAACGGTTAGCTCTTATAACATAATTTCAATTTTATGATCTACTTATTATTGCCCTAACTTTTCATAGACGTAATTGCGATTCAATAAGATCCATTTTCTTTTTCCTTGCTGAGAAATTGTTTAATTCTCAACCTGCAAGACGTATAGTTTAGAGATGGTTTACAAATTATTTTCATTACTTTTATCCAAAATTATTCAACTTTGGTATAAAAGCTGCATTGATTTTCGTAACTACAGATATTTAAACAAGTTCTTAACATCTATGTTTCGTTATACACATAAAACTTTGCAGTTATTTTTAAATTGAAGCAGTAAAATAATTTGTAATTAACACAAGTTGAAAAAGAAATTAACAAATGTGAGAAGGTACTAGATACGGGTAGAATGCAAAACGCCTTGTGAATTGAAGAGGAATTGTTTGAAACGAATCGAAACGCATATTTCTTATAAAGTTTGCGACTTTTTAAATAAAAATTGCCATATATACGTATTTAATCTTATTCCTGTTTAATCATAAAGTGATAACTGAAAGAAAACAAATTTACAACAAAACAATGTTATACATATTTCTGAAATGTCTATATAATAAATCGTCAATTTAATGTTATATAAATTGTTATTTGTTTTTTGTTCTCCTAATTTATGTAATTTATATAACAATTTAATGGTATTTGGTTGAATATAATTTATGGAACATAAATTGTAGTTTGAATATAATTTATATGACAATTTAATATAAAAAAATTAAATTGTTTACAACTAATTGTGCAGACCTTATGTCTTTCGTTACTGAAGATGGAGAGCACATCATGAATTTGTTTTAAATAAACATATATTTGACATTATATACAATTAGTAAAGATGTACCTCTCCAGCTTCAGTAACGAAATGTTGCAGGGCCTGGACAACTAATGGTGAATAATTTAATTTTTTTGCTGAATATAAAATTTAGTAGTGACTGTCTGCAGATAGAATTATACTTGGTCTGACCAGACTCAATCTGTCAGACGAGAAGTTATGACGAGGCATCCCAATCCAGAATTGACAGCATATTCTACATGTCGTGTAATGTAAATACATTTTATTGATTCCCCTTAGGGTTTTTACAAGGCGTTTTTCAAGGAACGTGCCCAAACCTCTTATAACACCTCTCTCTATATCCACTTCTCTATGTGGCGATCGAACGAAAAACCAACAATGTTTCGTTTGGTTTTGAACCCAGGTCTTCGGATTAGCAGACCAGCGCACGATCCTCTGCGCCACGATCGCCACAACAATTTAATATAAATTGTTATATAAATTAAAATTATATTTTTGTATTTATGTCGACGGTCGAAAATTTTATATCAACAGTCGATAATATTCATCATTTATTTCCGGGCGACCAAAGTTTCACTGAAATAACGTGAATTTATTCACAAAAATAATATTTTGTCATCGTCTATATCGAAATGTTGTCATCCTAATTCATTTTCATGCATGACGACATAACGACGGTGATTTCAGAATGAATTCAATTGACCGAAGGGGGAATCTGTCGGTGCTGCAGTAGGTACGCCACTGCTCCAGCCACGTTCGTCTGAAATAGCGTGTTGTCTGGCCTTTCGCGTACTCGGTGGACGAAGTGTCGTGTGCTGAGGGCTCTTGCACCTCAACTAAATACTCTTATCGGACGGATTATACGGTAAATGTTCGGACAACTTATTTTATTCTTAAGGAACCGGCCTGCTTTCGACGCGTAACGAAATATCCGAGGATGTTACGCACGCCCTCGCTTTAAAACGACGGGGCCCCGTTCTAACCTCACTTACCGCGCAATTCTCGTGGTAACTTTCGTAATGGTTTTTCAGGTCCGATTTTTTATTCTCCGATTAAATGTTAACCGGAGGTTAGTCGATTGCCTGTCCCTTCTTAGATAACAATATAGAAAAGGATGGAGAGTCGACTAATCTCTGATTAACAGCTAACCAGAAAATGAAAAACCGGGCCGCGGCAGGATTTATGTAAATTTACAGTCTTGCATAACGCGAAACGTGTATAGGACATTCTACGTCCTAAGGACGTCCTATAGATGTTCTGAGGACGTCCCTTGGAAGTTTGTGCTGTATGGGCTTGAACACCTGAGAGAGCGAGTTTAACTCTTTTTTTTTTTAAATAAATCTTGGGATTAATAGAACGTTTAAATAATTATTAAGTAATGTAACGAACTGGGGGTCATTTCTGTATCTTAGGCCGGTATTCATAGTCAAATCTTATATTCAAGACCGTCTTGAGATTATCTTTAGATGCTCCACAGCCAATGAAATGTTCCATGCAGCGTCTTTAGATAAACTCCAAGGGTCAGTTTCACAAACATTGGTTAACTGTTAACTAGGGTTCAGTGGACGTCCTATCTTTTTCCATCTTATTATTTAAACAGAGACAGAGAATCGATTAATCTTCGGTTAGCAGTTGACCGATGTTCGTGAAACTGGCCCTAAATCGATAAATCCCCCGATAACGCAAGATTTTCGCAATAATTAATTCTTGCCTCGTCACGAAGTCATTAAGTTATCCACATTAATAAATATCTATCATCTAAAAGTTATTCTTTCAAGCAACTTGAACTCATGTCGCAGGTATCTAAAATATGGAAGAATACGCAAGAGAACCATGTCCCTGGCGGATAGTCGACGATTGCGGTGGTGCTTTTACAATGGGCGTCATAGGCGGAGCGATCTTTCAAAGCATCAAGGGCTTCCGTAACGCACCGAGTGGCTGGAGGCAGCGTTTCACGGGCAGTGTAGTGGCGATTAGGCAACGGGCGCCCATCATCGCGGGAAATTTTGCCGTATGGGGCGGCATGTTTTCCACAATTGATTGCACTTTAGTGCACTTCAGAGGGGGCAAGGAAGATCCTTATAACTCTATCATCAGTGGCGCGGTGACTGGCGGGATTTTAGCGGCGAGAAACGGTCTACCGGCGATGGTAGGCAGTGCAATAATTGGCGGGGTGCTCTTGGCGCTGATAGAAGGCATAGGAATTGGCTTCACCCGCCTCTCCGCCGAACAATTCAAACCACCGACGCTGGTTGACGACCCGTCGCAACTTGGCCCACCGCCGCAAGGCTACCCGTCATAATGTTCAACCAAATCCTTTAGATTTATTTCAAGTTAGAACGAAATGTCCAAGTGACGATACTCGACGGTGCCTGGCATCCGAGTATCGCTTGAACGTCTCGCCTTTTGCCAATGTTAAATTTACACGCAGCAAGCCCTAGACCTAAGATCAAATAATATTTTAGTTGTTTTCTTACTTATTGTTCTATTCCTTTAAACCTCCTAATTAGAACGCAACACAATACTTTGTGTAATGTGTCCTGTAAATAGATATAAAATATATGAATAAAAATAAATCCATACATGTGATATATCGCAGTGCACTTTACTACAAAATATTTTCTAGATTTTTATAAAATTGTAAACTCTCATATTTAGCTCTCTTTTATAGTATATATTAATACAGCGTAATCGGTAACAAATCTAAATCTCTGATCATTATTTTCTTATTTAGGGAATATGAAATCACATTGGTTCGTCGTCTTCAGATTCCTCCGAGTTATTTACAAGAGGTGCTACAGACAAATCCAACTGTTTCGTCAGATCCGGCGCATCGTCTACTGGCTCAATTTTCATAAGTTTGTCTTTCGTCGATGCATCAGGCAGTATTTCTCGTCCTGGATATTCCGCTCCGAGTAGAGTGTTCCTCAAATGCAATCGTTCGACCTACGAGATCAATTGAAATATTTTGCACGAAATTAAATGACTCGAATATCCTTGTTGTTTCGCGTTAAAATTGCTTAATTACAGACCTGTAAAGCAAGTATTTGTTTGTCAATCTTAGATAGTATGTCAGTTAGAAATTCCTTTTGGCCCATTAACCTCTCGCGATATTGCGTCATTTCCTGCGCAGAGATTCGTGCTTCTTTACTCATTGTTATAGATTTCTTTGCGGACTCTTCAAATTTTAACCGCGTTGCTAGAGTCGGTACTGTTTGACACGACGATTGTATGTAATAACAACTATCCACTTTTCGGAGCGAACTAGAGTCACTGTATTTGCAGAGTATTCAAATGTCATTGCGTTCAGAAAACACAAGTTTCGTAGCCGTTCGGCAAACCCTCGCATCTGATTGGTAGATGTTTTTAGATCCACCAATTAGAAGCGTTTCTCGAGGTTGCTCCTATCGATGCGTTCACTGAATTGGATTTTTGCTTTCTGCTTTTCTGCCAAGATGTGAATCCAGCCTGACATATGCGACTTGTGCTTCTACTCCTGTAAATTATTTTGCCAAATCGCTCATTTTTATGTCCAATTTAAACTGCATTGTGTAAATAATTGCATGTATTTTATTATATAGTTTTGTGATAATGTTGCTTCTAAGCCAAAACGTTATTCAACAAGTTTGTTACAACGTAATTACGTTGTAATTAATAATAATACATTTTATAACGTAGCTGAAATCGGAGCTTTAGCAGAACGCATGGAAAATGTCCGATTTTACTCTACAGATCGAGTGATTCTAGTTTGGACTGTAAGTAGGCGCCATCTGAAGTAAGTCTTGGCAACATCCAACATGAGACGAGAGAAAGGTGGAAGTAGCAGGTCGGTAATATAATTCTCATAGTCATTTTTTTAAATATCAGACGATATATGTAGAAATGAAATCTCTTGTATTAAATCCCTTAGAAAAATATACTTTGGAAACCTCAAAATTTTAGAAAAATAAGAAATATTAAAAAAGTAAATTTGGACACTTTAACTTTTATTTAAGGTAAACTCAAAACTTACTTAAAAATTTTTAAAGAAAACTTTAAGAATTGTGAAAATATGTGATAATTTATAATACCGCACGCGGTTTTCTTCTTACGAGAAAGTGCTATGCCGCGTGGTCCTCTAGCGGAAATTTCGACAGGCTTGGTTATCTAAAAATTAGTCCAAAATTACTCTAAATTTTTTTAAGTAAACTTTGAATTTCTTTAAGTAAACTCTTAGATTTGTGAAAGATTACTTTTAAGAACTTTAATTTTATTTAAAGCAAATTTTCCCAAGGGATTTGCAGATGACAATGCAAATAATAAGAAATGTAAGTATTTTCAGAAGGTTTCGCAAAGGAAAAAATAAATTTTAATATATCGTAGAGGGATATATTTAAATGGACGTGGCCTTAAGTATAATTTTTTTAATACAATAATATTTTATTCTTTCTACAGAAGTCTACATGGTATCATAGACTAATGACATTTTTATCGTAGTAGGAATGTCTTTATAGGTACGGAGCATTCAAATGGACCACCATGTAACTCACATAAATATGTACGATTATGCTAATTTGTATACGTTAAACGTGCGAACCTTCAACCGACTTGATAATTCATTCGCAATCATGTTAGCTGTTATTTTTACTTGAATTCTTGCCGATAAAAAGTCTGAAATGAAAATTTGTTAACAGCTCGTTCTGGATATTAATCCTAAAATTCAGTTTATATGGGGATTCATATGGTGATTAATTTTATTGGCCCATAATTTGCGTAAAATATTATTTACATATAAATACATGAACGCTGTTGGGCGAAAATTAGATCTACAGTCATTAAATCATCACCGTTGGACAATTACGCGTAGAATTGTGTAATTATCAGGGATATTTCTGTCTACTATTGCTAAACCATGCGTTATGATAAATATTATATAGAAATTAGACCAATTTGGCGCGCGCGCGCGCGCTTTAGGATTGACTGTGGCTTAAATAATCAATGGAATAATCAATTATAAATCGTTTCGTCATAAAACTTTCTTTTAAGTTAAAAATTAAATTGATGCAATACGCCTTTTATTATAATTTCCACAGCGATATTTTACATACATTTTGACATTTAGGTCGTTTCGTAATCTTTACGATTATCTTAATTATTTCATAGTAAGATAAAATTAACTCTTCCAGTATCGATTTGAATACAGACGTGTTGAAATAGTTTTTCGTTAGTTTTAATTTTTAGTTAAGTTTCAAAATGAAGACATGGGAGATATCTATTTCAGCAATTCAAACGTACGTATATTTGTACAGTTACATTATTCAATTAATTGTATATAGTATCATGTAAATTGCTCTTCTTATATAACAATATATACTTCAAGCTGATAAAAGAAGTAAACTATAAAATGGTTTTTCTTTTGAGGAAGTCATTAAACAACGCAATTTATCTATTACAGAGTACTGGAAGGGTTAAGAAATAAGCGGATGACAAAATTCAATTGCTATCATCTTACCTTTAACATGGAAACGTGACATGTTGATAGTTATTAATATTATTTTATTCATTTTGCATAGCTGAGTTAGGAATTCATTTACAATTGTACAGTGAATTGAAATGTCGTATAGTCCAGAAGATAATATAGAAAATGAAGCATATTATATATTGACCACATTATCAATGAAATAGACGTTTGAGAATTGTTTGAATTTAACAGGGTTGGGAAGTAACTCGTTACTTGTAACGAAGCTACAGTTACTTCTTTTTTGGTAATTCTAACTTAACATCGTTACTTTCTCGCACTGTAATGTAACTCGGTTACATTATTCCGATAACTAGTAACAAATTTAATAGTTACTTTATGCATATACAGGGTATTCCAGGAGGAAAGGTCAATATTCTGGGAGGTGACATTATCGGTCATGTAAAGCAAAAAAAATGTTCATACGAATACACCCAGATAGCACACAATGTTATACGGATATTCTATGTATAAACCAATATTCTTTCTCGAGAATATTCCTACTGAACATTCATAGAACATTCCCGAAACATTCAAAATTTTGTTAACTATTTTGAATTTTTTAGGAATATTCTGCTAGACTGGTTAATCTTTAATTAATAATAATTACTTTATGAAGTATATTTCGAAAAAATGGCTCGGGACTTTTTGATTCGGTTTTTCACGAGGGGTAATGCTGTGTGAATCGTGGGCGTAAATTAGGTGACACCCTGTATATACCAAATCTTCATAAAATCTTCTCAGAATATTGCGAGAGTGTTCTATGATGATTTGGTGGGATATTTTATGGTGTTTCCCAGAATTACGAAAACGGTCTCAAATGAATATGCAACGAATATTTCTAGAACGTTTTTTATACCTTATACGTACCTTTTAAGAATATTTCAAAGTTCTCAAAAAATATTCCTAGAACATTTTTAGAACGTAATTGTGCTATCTGAGTATGTCCCACCCCATCCCCACTGTTTCCGAGGTAGAGCACATTTTGTTGACGTCCTCGTTCAGATAAAACATGAACACTGGGAAGCGATCTACTTTCACGCAATATATTGAAAACCTTGGAAAACACTTTACGATTCGGAATTCTGCATGTAGGAAAGTGTATTCTTCAACAGCGGCAGTAGCTCTGCCATCACAGAAACCGTAAACATACAGCATATCTGCATATTCGACATTTATGAGAGAATATGCGAGGCATTTTGAAGATTTGAACAACAGTCAACAGACATGTATGAGAGTAAATTCCCGCAGACGTTTATGAGGTTGGATAAAGGGTGAAGTGTACAGAAAAAAAGTAAATGAGACATTTAAGTAGCTCTATCTCGGAAACAGTGGGGAATGGGATATTCATATCAACATTTTTGCTTAAAATGACCGATACTATCACCTGCCAGAATATTTACCTTTCCTCCTAGAACACCCTGTATATTTTAAACCTCGCATTAGGCCTTGCCTTTGCGCATAAACGCCTTTATCGACGCTGTACAGTTCAAATGCAGCTTTGATATTTTTATTTTCATTGCAAGAAAGTAACTGCAAAGTAACGATTCGTTACTTTTTGAGTAACTGTAACTGTAATGCGTTACTTTTCAGAATTGGTAACTTAATTGTAACTGTAACTGTAACTAGATACTTTCATAAAGTAACTTTCCCAACCCTGGAATTTAGAATGTAATCGTTTTGTTAACGTAAACGGAGTGATACTCGGAAAAAGTTTTTAAGGGAACGCAACTAAAAATATTAACGATTCGCGCGATTATCAGCATTTACATATGTATATCTATAAATGTCGTTATAAAAACTGAGGTACATGGTAACCTTGAAGAGAATGTATAGATTGCGGAAAGATAAGATTTGAACTTACACAATTTTACAAGGCGCTTTGGGAACTAATTGTAAGATAAACGTACATACGCGAAATAAATAATATACTCAAAATGAATGTACAATCTTTAATAGACTAAATAAAGAGAGTGAGAGTCGGCGCGAAAAGACATCTCGGAATGCAGCATTGTGTTGTAATACGAAACTGTATCAATATCTTTTTCCGCGGGCGTAACCTTCCCCGTGTCACTTCTGAATTCGGACGACTCGTACAATATGGTGGAATTAGAGCACAATCAATGTCGTATTTTATATAATTTAGAAACGGGAAGATAGATGCGTCCCGTATATACATATATCACATACCTCTACTTTCAGGATACAGAATGACATTACTTGTCTTAACTCCCTCGCCGTATTACGTATTTTCGCGATGCAGCCTGAAATGGCGAATTGGAAAATGACTCGTGGCTGCAGTAATTGTCATGATTCTTATTGAACTTCCGGCTCCGAATAACCGCCGAGCTCTAGCAGTCATCGAATCATAGACCGTAGTGGCGTTCGTTACTGCAGCAAAAGTCGCGTCAATCCTTGGAAGATGGGGGTGATTCCCTACTGTTGTCGCTGGGGAAGCTGGACAAGCCGAGGCCGCCGATCTCGTGGCTGGACGAGCCCGTCGGGGAATTGCTGCTGCTCCTGGCACCGCTCAGTGGCGTCACGTTCGTGCTGTCCGCCGGTATCAGGCCCTCCTTCATACGCTTCTTCTGCTTCATCCGCCTGTTCTGGAACCAGATCTTCACCTGGGTCTCGTTAAGCTGGAGCGCGGAGGCGATCTCGATGCGCCTCGCTCGCGTCAGGTACTTGTTGAAGTGAAACTCCTTCTCCAGCTCGGTGAGCTGTTTATTCGTGAAGTTCGTGCGGCCTGTATTGTTGAAACTGCCGGCGATACCGGCCAGTGATCCGGCGATGCAGCTCACTGTTCCGCTGGCGGTGCTTCCGTACACGGAGGAGCTCGATCCCGCGGCTGCGCTGCCACCGAACTCTATTACATTCGGATTTGCCTTCGTCGCTGAAACAAATTCGTTGCTTTGCTATAAATGGAATGTCTACGCTAAGTAGTTACAACAAAATTCAAATGATTCTGCTTCGTCAAATCTATGTAATCTTTTTACTTTTACATGTTTTTATGTACACTGAAGATGATTCGAAGCGGATCGAAACGTTTGTAAATTTTGAATTTTTATATCTGCGTACGGCTTGCATTGGTTTTCCATACCCTTCACTAGTTTTAAAGCTTGAGAGCCTAAGTTTATGGAATTTTTTAATTATAATATATAATTGTAATTATGTACGTACACGGAGAGAATATTCTTTTAAAATTTATCCAGAAAATTATGTAATCGTGGGACAACATGGCATATCAAAGAATTGTACGAGTTTTTCGAAATGTTACCATACATTTCACTAGTAATTGTACTTAGCACATATTTTACTATGTCTAATATGTTGATTTCCGAATGCCACCTATCATGACAGCATTCGAAAACGAGAACTGCTATATTTAGCATTGAACAGTACAGGTATCGAATGTTAAATATAGCATTTTGAAAAGAATTAGAAATCGTTTATCAATTTAATTCGTGAATTTGCTGACGACAATGATTCCATCTAAATGAAACTGTGTTACGTCCGAGAAGAAACCGGCGCGCAGGACAAGGTGGAAAACGCAAGGTTGCCACTAGCTAAAATGTTGTCCCACCGATTACACGATTTCATTTCATTACAAACAATCTCATCTAATTGCAAATTATTTTCTTATATGCACGTTTACAAATATGTAACGTTGTTAAACCTCAAAGAGCTGTTAGATTTCGTCAAAATATATTTTTCTTATTTTACCAAGTATTTTGCTTGTAGAGATAATTTCAGTTAAGATTGTAGTATTCGGTCACGTGTTTCCTTGCTTCCCACTTTTCTCACTAGTCTAATCGTGGTCTTAACGAAAAGTAATTTTGTACTTGCATTTACTGTTTACTGTTCCAAATTTGCGCGCAAAGGTGTATCAACGTTTCAACTCGCTGTTGTTCTAACAGCAACTACTTCAGTCTTATTGTGAAAAGAATACGCGAGGTGTGAACTATGATATTATATTTGGATATTCACTAAAAGAAGTAAATTTTTTTGGAAAATGAAAACAAGCTGAGAAAATGTTCACATTTAATGTTTAATGTCTAGCACGTGAAGAAACTTGAAAATTAAGACGAAACGATCACACGGGGATTTCGTAAAAGGATTTCATAATGATTTCGGCGACACTTTCCCACGATTACATCAAGTGGTTACCCCCTTGGGAAAACGGTATATAAATTCACATTTTAGATTACAATTATTGGGCTACCAACATCTTGCTCGGACCTGAAGGCGCTCTCATTTGTTTACCCGAAGATGCTTGTGTTTGCAAATTTTTAGCAACTAACAGTGAGATACCGAATTTTCGGTAGGGCGATTTATGAGTGTCAAATACGACAGCAAACGCAGTATTCTCATTGAGCGAAAGCGAGCGTTCAATCTCTAATTTAGACGTGGCTTTCCAAGTATAATAGAAAACGCGACAGACGCGGACGTAATATGTGTCGAATCAAGATCAAGTCAAATCCTTTAAGTGACAGTCGTTCGCTGGCCATAACAGCTGGTCACTACCCGGGGAGCAGTTTTAGGGAGATGACCTGTGCAAAGCTGAGAGAACGGTAGGGTTGAGCGCCCTAAATCTGGATCAAATTGCATCAGCTGTAGAGCAAACATCCGCCACGACGTTACGCGAAATTTTTGATTTTTCCGCCCTACCGACGTTTCAGTGTCGATTAGTAATATTCAATTGGTATATTATCTTACAGCGCGAACAAATTTTTGGCACGGAGGATAATGCAATTAAAATATTGAGGGGCAAAAGTGACGCGCTTCGACAGAAGGATGAGGATACATTATGAAAATTAGATTGTTATTTAGACTACGGTATGTAGCAGTCAATTTACTTAATGGCAGGGGGTGGACAAAACTGTCAAGGCACCGCCTTAAAGTCACGTCTTCCCTATTATGTACATTTTCCTTCAATGTCTCCAGCTTGGCCCTTCGATATTTTTATAATACATTTTTGTTTGATCTCCTCTCGGGCAATCTTCGGACCTTCCTTCTTAGGCATCCGCCAAGATCACGCGTCGTATATAAAAAATATTTATAATATTCATGAAATGACTTTCGCGAATTTTCTAATATATAACCGAAAAAGATCAGTCACTTATACCTGAGGTCCTGAATTTAGCTTGCGGCCATTAAGCTTACGCTTTTCCAAGCCGAATAATAAACTTGGACAAGTTCTATTAGGCGTGCCGGTGCCAGATACAATGAAATGTTTCTCGTTTCCGCGACTCATTCATCAATTTAGCACTTTAACGGAGGACCGACTACGGTGCCGTTGATTTTCTATACGAATCTTCTTTGGCAACGAAACCGTTATAGCCATACGTAGAGGAAGAATCTTCAAATTTTCGTGAATTACATATAAACGCGATATACGCATGCAGAAAAGTAGAAATAAAACAAAGAGAGGCGTATATCTTTAATAAATAAATAATGTTCGGTAAAAATGGAGAGAGGATTCGACGTGGACTTATATATTTTGAAAATAAAAACGATATGCAAATGGAGATTGAATTTCCGTTACCACAAAGCGTTATCGACAAGTTACGCTCGTGCATGTTACGCAGAAATTATATCGCGAGCACGCATCGAATATTCTTACGTCAGCGGCCTCCTTTACCCTAAGCTCAACGCTATATTGCATGTAGAAATTAATAGTCGTAATTTTTAATGCCGCGAAGCCTCGCGAATAAATTTGCTCCGTGAATAAATATAATATCGATAAAACGGGGAAGAGGAAAGGGTTGACACACGAAGAGGGAGTTCCTAATAACGCCGGGTATAAAAGAGGGACTTTTAATTATCTTCTACAAGACATGTGGGTGCGCTCTCAGTTTTGCAACGCTCGTGATTACATTATTACTGCCCGAATCTTACGTAATCACGCGAGTTTAATCGCGCAGCACAAATCGCGGGATAGAGTTTTCGAGTAAACGGATTTTCATTACATGGAAAATAATTTATAATGTCAGGCGCAGTTTAAACACAGCAGTAACGTGGAGTTGTGTGATTACAGCTGCGAAAAATCCTTTCGATATAAGCCGGGAAAACATCGTTGTCTTTTAAACCAAGGATGACTGAATTATCACACGACGCGCGTATTTGTTTAGGAACTTGGGTGGCGTTGATGCGGATAATCCGGACATTACATATGTACAAATCAAATACAGCTGGATCCTAAATATTGGTACATCATTGCGTCTGTAAAAAAAGTCGCTACGGTTTAAAAAAATTACAGCTATTTCCATTTCACAGATTACTTTCGTCTCATATACGCGTCTCAGATAAAAGCGTCTCGTCCTAAATCCGGAAAATTCTGTGAATTACGAAAAGCGACCGCGCGCGCCCGTATATCTCTATCCTCTCTGTAACATAATACACAAGCATCTTGTATTCTCCCGTGTTTACCATCACCTTTCCTTACGTCATACCATCGTGCACGCCAGCCCTGGGCTTTTAGCCTTTGAATAATATTTGAATTGCGTAATGTTCCTTGAGGGGGGAGATTATCGACGTATAAGAGCCACGCATAAGTGCAGATGATCCAGAACGATCAAGGGATCGACTTCCCATGAGTAGCTGCCACTTTTTCTAAAACGTAAATCCAAAAACTCATATCCTCGTGTGTTAACGCGTTAAAATCATCGACGTATAGAATGGACTGAGCGTTGCCAGCTCTCTACATTAGAGAGAGAAAGAGAGAGAGAGAGAGAGAGAGAGAGAGAGAGAGAGAGAGAGAGAGAGAGAGAGAGAGAGAGAGAGAGAGAGAGAGAGAGAGAGAGAGAG